AAATCAATAAAATATATTTTTTAAAAAAAAAAGATTTAAAAATAATAAATACATGATCAGGCAATCAGAGCCCATCACTTGTGATGGAAGGCAAAAGGAAGGGAAGCGTTTTGAGATTACTTTTTAAATTCCCTTTTAAAAACAACTTGATGACATACACTGAAAACACATAAGAATTAGCTGATGTTATTACAGAGCCATTAGTTATTTATGCCAACTCACTGAAGAATTGAAAATGAGCTAACAATTACAGATAAAAAGGTATGTGTGTATTACATTTATAAAATACAATATATATCTCAATTTTAAAATGTGTTTGGAAATTATATACTGATTACCCTAATTTTAAATTTCCTGAGATACTAAAATAAAACAGCAGGTAATCATTTCACTTGCAAAATAAACAAATTTGAACAAAACATGTTTGAAGAAAACTAATCCCACCAGTAGAGTATATAACATATTACACACCCACAAGGCAAAATATTAAGGGATATGGGGTTATATTTCTACCATTACATTCTTTTCAACTGTATATCACAAAATCTCAGTACTGGTAGAATCTCTCAATATCACCTTGCCAAGTTTCAATCACTCAATCAATTTTGGATTCATTTCAGTACTTTCTTCACTGAGTGAATATTCTGCCAGTGCTTGGAAGACTAGCAAACACCAAGTAGGAGATATTGTCCCAAAGGCCTGTCTGTTGATAGCTCTTTCTCTATGTTATGTTGAAACATGTCTCCCTACAGACAGTTGAGGACAGATCTTTTCTGCTCTGTGAACATCTGTCTAACAGGCAGAATGTTTTGAGGTCACAACATATGATTTAGTACTTCAGTCAATGACTTGCAAGTCAGAATGAATATATATACTCATTAATCTTGCACAGAAAAAGTGTAAATAGTAGAATTCATTACATGTAGTGTGTTGTTGATGTGATGCAGTGACTGTTTAACTAAGGTTAAACATAGAATTATCATATGACCCAGTAGTTCTGCCCCTAGGTATATACCACATCTGTCTAACAGGCAGAATGTTTTGAGGTCACAACATATGATTTAGTACTTCAGTCAATGACTTGCAAGTCAGAATGAATATATATACTCATTAATCTTGCACAGAAAAAGTGTAAATAGTAGAATTCATTACATGTAGTGTGTTGTTGATGTGATGCAGTGACTGTGAAAAACAGTTCCTCAAAAGGTTAAACATAGAATATCATATGACCCAGCAGTTCTGCCCCTAGGTATATACACTAAACAAATAAAAAACAGGTACTCAAACAAATAATTGTACAAAAATGGTCATTGCAGCACTATTGACAATAATCAATAAGTATAAACAACCCCAATGCCCATCACTAGATAAATGAATATATAAAATATGGCATATACATAACATGGAATATGATTCAACCATAAATAGGAATGAAGTACTGTGATGCATGCTACTCTGTGAATGGATCAAAAAAATATTATGGTAACTGAAAGTGACCACACACAAAACATCACTTATAAATCCATTTATATGAATCCCCTAGCCCGGCCTGTGCCCTCTTGCAGCCTGGGACCCCTTGGGGGATGACCACCTGCTGGCTTAGGCACTCTTCCTGGGGGATTGGGCCTAAGCTGGTAGTCAGACATCCCTCTGGCAGCCTGGGAGCCCTCGGGGATGTCCAGCAGGGAGCAGGCCTAAGCTGCAGTCAGACATCCTTAGCACTGCTGAGGAGTCGGGAGAGGCTCCCACCACCACCGCTGTACTGGAAGCCATCAGCCTGGCTTGTGGCTGAGCAGAGCTCCCCCTGTGGGAGCGCACTGACCACCAGGGGGCAGTTCCTACATTGAGTGTCTGCCCCCTGGTGGTCAGTGTGTGTCATAGTGACCA